AGGTGTGTTTAGCCGCCCCCAGGTGTGGTTTAGGGTCCCCCAGGTGTGTTTAGTCTCCCTCAGGTGTGTTTACCTGTCCCCAGGTGTGGTTTAGGGTCCCTCAGGTGTCGTTTATCCCACTCAGGTGTGTTTACCTGTCCCCAGGTGTGGTTCAGACCCACTCAGGTGTGTTTAGGGTCCCTCAGGTGTGGTTTATCCCACTCAGGTGTGTTTACCTGCCCACAGGTGATCTGCCGCCAGCTGGGCTGTGGGGAGGCACTGTCGGCTCCCGGCCACGCCCACTTTGGGCAGGGCTCGGGACAGGTGTGGCTGAGCGACCTCACCTGTTCGGGCCGTGAGCGACACCTGGGGCACTGCCCCGCCCCCCCCTGGGGCAACAACACCTGCGGGCACGAGGAGGACGCGGCGGTGGAGTGCGCAGGTGAGAACAACAGGTGGGAACAGGTGAGCTCAGGTATGGACAGGTGTGCGCAGGTGAGAACAACAGGTGGGAACAGGTGTGGACGGGTGTGGACGCCTGTGCATCCCTCACCTGCCTCACCCCTCACCTGTCCCTCACCTGTCCCAGGTGTGAACAGGTGTGCGCAGGTGAGAACAACAGGGGGGAACAGGTGTGGACGGGTGTGGACGCCTGTGCATCCCTCACCTGCCTCACCCCTCACCTGTCCCTCACCTGTCCCATCCTCCTGTCCACCCCCCACCGGTCCATCCCTCACCTGTCCCATCCACCTGTCCACCCCCCACCTGTCCATCCCTCACCTGTCCCATCCACCTGTCCCCCCCCCACCTGTCCATCCCTCACCTGTCCCTCACCTGTCCCATCCCTCACCTGTCCCATCCTCCTGTCCACCCCCCACCTGTCCATCCCTCACCTGTCCCTCACCTGTCCCATCCCTCACCTGTCCCATCCTCCTGTCCACCCCCCACCTGTCCATCCCTCACCTGTCCCTCACCTGTCTCTCTCTCACCTGCAGCCCCTCACCTGTCCGTCCCCACCCCCTCTCCAGAGCCCCTCCAGGTGCGCCTGGCCGCGGGGCCGGGCAGGTGCGCGGGCCGCGTGGAGGTGTTACACCTGGGCAGGTGGGGCACGGTGTGCGACGACACCTGGGACCTGCAGGCGGCCCGGGTCACCTGCCGGCACCTGGGCTGCGGCCCCGCCATCAGCGCACCTGGCGGCGCCCGCTTCGGGCCCGGCCGCGACCCCGTGTGGCTGGACCAGGTGCGCTGCTCAGGTGAGGAGCTCACCTTGGACAGGTGCGAGCTGCGCCAGTGGGGAGAGCACGACTGCGGCCACGAGGAGGACGCGGGGGTGGTGTGCGCAGGTGAGTCCTGCAGGTGAGTCCTGCAGGTGTGTGCAGGTGTGCGCAGGTGAGTCCTGCAGGTGTGCGCAGGTGTGCGCAGGTGCGCGCAGGTGAGTCCTGCAGGTGTGTGCAGGTGTGCGCAGGTGAGTCCTGCAGGTGTGCGCAGGTGTGCGCAGGTGCGCGCAGGTGAGTCCTGCAGGTGTGTGCAGGTGTGCGCAGGTGAGTCCTGCAGGTGTGCGCAGGTGTGCGCAGGTGCGCGCAGGTGAGTCCTGCAGGTGTGTGCAGGTGTGCGCAGGTGAGTCCTGCAGGTGTGCGCAGGTGTGCGCAGGTGCGCGCAGGTGAGTCCTGCAGGTGTGTGCAGGTGTGCGCAGGTGAGTCCTGCAGGTGTGCGCAGGTGTGCGCAGGTGCGCGCAGGTGAGTCCTGCAGGTGTGTGCAGGTGTGCGCAGGTGAGTCCTGCAGGTGTGCGCAGGTGTGCGCAGGTGCGCGCAGGTGAGTCCTGCAGGTGTGTGCAGGTGTGCGCAGGTGAGTCCTGCAGGTGTGCGCAGGTGTGCGCAGGTGCGCGCAGGTGAGTCCTGCAGGTGTGTGCAGGTGTGCGCAGGTGAGTCCTGCAGGTGTGCGCAGGTGTGCGCAGGTGCGCGCAGGTGAGTCCTGCAGGTGTGTGCAGGTGTGCGCAGGTGAGTCCTGCAGGTGTGCGCAGGTGTGCGCAGGTGCGCGCAGGTGAGTCCTGCAGGTGTGTGCAGGTGTGCGCAGGTGAGTCCTGCAGGTGTGCGCAGGTGTGCGCAGGTGCGCGCAGGTGAGTCCTGCAGGTGTGTGCAGGTGTGCGCAGGTGAGTCCTGCAGGTGTGCGCAGGTGTGCGCAGGTGCGCGCAGGTGAGTCCTGCAGGTGTGTGCAGGTGTGCGCAGGTGAGTCCTGCAGGTGTGCGCAGGTGTGCGCAGGTGCGCGCAGGTGAGTCCTGCAGGTGTGTGCAGGTGTGCGCAGGTGAGTCCTGCAGGTGTGCGCAGGTGTGCGCAGGTGCGCGCAGGTGAGTCCTGCAGGTGTGTGCAGGTGTGCGCAGGTGAGTCCTGCAGGTGTGCGCAGGTGTGCGCAGGTGCGCGCAGGTGAGTCCTGCAGGTGTGTGCAGGTGTGCGCAGGTGAGTCCTGCAGGTGTGTGCAGGTGTGTGCAGGTGTGAGGGAAGGGGGGACAGGTGAGGGCTGGGGGTGTTCAGGTGTGTCCTTGGGGGGTCTCAGGTGGGTTCTGGAATTACCCAGGTGTACCCAGGTGTACCCAGCTGTACCCCAGGTGTATCTCAGGTATACCCGGTGTGTCCAGGTGTGCCCAGGTGTACCCAGGTATATCCCAGGTGTACCCAGGTGTGCCCAGGTGTACCCCAGGTGTACCCAGGTGTGCCCAGGTGTACCCCAGGTGTACCCAGGTATACCCAGGTGTACCCAGGTATACCCAGG